TCCGTTATCTTCAATATGGCTCTCCCTGATGACCTTTTCTAACGCAATCCTCAGTTAGCATCCCCTTGACTCAACCCAGTCATTACTGGTATCCCTTGTGATGCAATATTGCCAAATTTGATCTTTATTTTCGTGTCTAGGATGTTTGCTTTTACCAGATTAATTAATTTCTGGAGCGACTTAAAGTGCYTTAATATATTCAAGCYTTTTTTCGCTGTGAATGCAATCAATGATCATACGCTTTCTTGAAATCGATAAATAATACATATACTTCTCTATCAAACTCCCACATTTTTTAGAAAATTTTTTTTTWAAATAAATATCTTATCTGTAGTATATCTATTCGTCTAAAGCCTGCTTGATAACTCCCAAAAATATCTTGTCCACGGCTTAATTCTGTTAAATTTACGTTTAGAAAGAACTTTTTAAGTAATGTTTAGTAGAGCGATGTTTCTATAATTATCACACAACTGTGATTCCCCCCTCCTGTTCCATAACAAATTCCTGAGTATGCCACAGGTCTCGGGCAAATTGTAGTCACCGCAGAAAATAAAATAATGTTTTAGATATTGTAAAATGACGGAATCAATTACATACATATGTGATTCATAAGTATGCAGCAGAGATAATAAAATTAAGCGATCCGCAGGAGAAACAAACAAATAAATGCACAACAGAACAATAAATTGACAAGATAGTGGAAGATAGTGGAAGACAAATCATTACTAACAGTAATCAAGACTTGGAGAGAAAACATTCAGATACCTATGATTTATACGTTTTATGTTTCATTACTATGATTTTGTCATGGAATAATAATKTATGGCTAATTGTTTTCCCTTATATTATAATATAACCTTATAATTTAATTGATTTATTTGTATATTAATAATTTATCATCACACTGATCACAATTTGATGTTGTAGAATTCAATTTGGATGAAAAAATCAAATGCGATATCATAAAAGTAAAGAACGAATTCAAATATAAATATGAATCTTTGGATATTAATTACTTTGAATTTTTCAACGTCGGTAGAAAAACATGTAAAAAATTTGGGATAAGCGCAGATTCTTTAATGCAACTATGTTTCCAGGTACTGCATATACGGTTGAACTTAAATAGGTTTTATTTAATACCAACTATCTATATAATGTAATGCAGTTTATAAATTAATTTAATGGGACCTGGCGTGCCTTGGCAATTGATCTCTGTCACTAAATTGTTCTGAGGTCATGGGGGTCGCTACTTCCCGGATGGTTGACCACCCAGGTTTTTAATAACAAATTCTCGCCCCACATACAAATGTTCCTTAACTATCCGTAATTTCTCTACAAAACGCTGACTGTTATACTTTTCCATGCTTAAGATCAATAAAAAATAAATTAATTTRAATGTATTTAGTTAGGYCATTTTAAACTATATAAGAAACATGTTGGTACTTATGAATCATGCAGTACAGCAGCATTCAAACATGGAAGAACAGAAACTGTAAGACCGTGTACAATGAAGACCGCTGTAAGTTAAATTATTAACATTGCAATGTTAATAAAAAAAATTTTACWATACATTTTCATGTAAAATATTTTTTAGGATTTTTGCTATGCTGTATCAAGTAATAATAAACCCTCTAACAATGATCTAGTGAACATGATAAAGCAATGTTCAGTTGAACATAGTAAACTTGTAAAGGAAGCTGCAATGGGTAATATTTTATCAATAAAAATATAATTGTTTAATAGGTATATTTTATATCTTTTCGTTTTCAGGACAAGGGTTTGATCGTCATTTATTCGCTCTACGATTATTAGCTAAAGAAAGCAATTTAAAAATTCCAGACTTGTTCACCGATCCCGCTTATGGTCTTATTAATCATAATATTCTATCTACTTCTAGTTTAACTTCAGATTATGTATGGTTGGGAGGGTTTGGTCCTGTTATAAAAGAT